TAGAAGAATGTTCCTTTCTCAAAAGCAGAGTGTGTTTCTTGTAAGGCGAGCTAGTGTTGGTTTCCCCTTCATTAATGGAGTTGAATCACATGCAGTTTCTGGGACTACAAGCAAAAGTTGTTTTCTGGTTAGGAAAGTCACTATTGCCATCCCATTGCCACACAGCGCAAATAGCACTCGTGTCTGTTCCCAGGAAGTTCCGTGTATTGGACAGAAGAAAAGAAACTCTTCTTGTCAGTTTCCTAAGCAGAGTTGAACTGGATATAGCCCGTTTGTGTAGGAAGCACAGTTCTTTTGTTCTGAGCAAGCTCACTGTTCTGGCTCTATAGGAAACACAGTAGAGTAGAAGAGTGATCTTTTATCAAAAGCATTGTGTGTTTCTTGTAAGGTGAGCTAGTGTTGGTTTCCCCATCATAAACATAGTTGAATCACATGCAGTTTTTTTTTTTTTTTGGGTTTTCGAGACAGGGTTTCTCTGTGTAGCTTTGCTCCTCTCCTGGAACTCACTTGATAGTCCAGGCTGGCCTCGAACTCACAGAGATCCGCCTGGCTCTGCCTCCCGAATGCTGGGCTAAAGACGTGCGCCACCACCGCCCGGCCACATGCAGTTTTTGATACTAAGATTAAGAGTTGTTTTCTGGTAAGTAAAGCCACTACTGGGCTCCCATTGCCATACACTCCGCAAATACCACTCACTTCTGTTCCTAGGAACTACAGTGTATTGGACAGAAGAGAAGCAACTTTTCTTGTCAGCTTCCAAAGCAGAGTTGAATTTTATATGGCCCCTGTGTGTAGGAAGCACAGTTCTTTTGTACTGAGCAAGCTCACAGTTCTGGGGTATAGGAAACACCATAGAGTAAAAGAGTGCTCCTTTCTCAAAAGCAAAGTCTTTTTCCTTACGGGGAGCTAGTTTTGGTTTTCCCTTCATAATCACAGTTCAATCACATGCAGTTTCTTGTCCTATGAGTAAGGGTTTTTTTCAGGTAAGGAAAGTCTCTATTGTGCTATACCATTGCCATACAGGGTGCAAATAGCACAAGCATCTGGTCCCATCAAATGCAGTGTATTGGACATAAAATAAGCTACTATTCTTCTCAAGTTGCTAAACAGAGTTGAACTAGATATGGCCCATGTTAGTATTAAGCCCAGTTCTTTTTTTATGAGCAAGCTCACTGTTCTGGATCTATTGGAACCTCAGTAGAGTAGAAGAGTGCTCCATTCTCAAAAGCAGAGTGTTTCTTGAAAGGCGAACTAGTGTTGGTGTCCCCTTCATAAACGGAGTTGTATCACATGCAATTTCTGGTCCTAAGAGCAAGATTTGTTTTCTGGTAAGGAAAGTCACTATGGCGCTCCCATTGGTATACACAGCAGATATAACTCTCATGTCTGTTCCCAGCAATTACAGAGTATAGGATGGGAGAGAAGCTACTGTTCTTGTCAGTTTCCTAAGCAGAGTTGAACTAGATATAGCCCATGTTGTAGGAAGCACAGTTCTTTGCTTCTGAGCAAGCTTACTGTTCTGGGTGTACAGGAAACACAGTAGAGTAGAAGAGTGCTCCTTTCTCAAAAGCAGAGTGTGTTTCTTGTATGAAAAACTAGTGTTGTTTTCCCCTTCATAACCAGAGTTGAATCACAGGCAGTTTCTGGTTCTATGAGCAAGAGTTGCTTTCTGGTAAGGAAAGTCACTATTGTGCTCCCATTTTCATACACAGTGCAAATAGCAGGCGTGTCTGTTTCCAGAAGTTCAGTGTCTTGAATGGAAGAGAAGCTCCTGTTCTCCTCAGTTTGGTAAGCAGAGTTGAACCATATATGGCCAGTTTGTGTAGGAAGGACAGTTCTTTTGTTCTGAGCAAGCTCTTTGTTCTGGCTCTACAGGAAACACAGCGGAATAGAAGAGTGCTCCTTTCTCAAAAGCAGAATGTGTTTCTTGTAAGGCCCACTAGAATTGGTTTCCCCTTCATAAAAGGAGTTGAATCACATGCAGTTTCTGATCCTAAGCGCAATAGTTGTTTTCTGGTAAGGAAAGTCACTATTGTGCTCCCTTTGCCATACCCATTGCAAATAGCACTCGCGTCTTTTCCCAGCAAATACAGTGTTTTGGATGGAAGAGAAGCTACTGTTATTGTCAGTTTCCTAAGCAGAGTTGAACTGGATATGTCCTGTGTGTGTAGGAAGCACAGCTATTTTTTTCTGAGCAAGCTCACTGTTCTGGCTGTATAGGAAACACAGAAGAGTAGAAGAGTGCTCCTATCTCGAAAGCAGAGTGTGGTTCTTGTAAGGCGAGGTACTGTGGTTTCCCAATCATAACCTGAGTTAAATCACAAGAAGTTTATGGTCATATGAGCAAGAGTTGTTTTCTGGTAAGTAAAGTCACTTTTGTGCTCCCAATGCTATACACAGTGCAAATAGCACTCGCGTCTGTTCCTAGCAGCTGCAGTATATTGGACGGAAGAGAAACTACTGTTCTTGTCAGTTTCCTAAGAAGAGTTGAACTAGATATGTCCTGTGTGTGTAGGAAGCCCAGTTCTTTTTTTTATGAGCAATCTCCCTGTTCTGGATGTATACCAAACACAGTATATTGGAAGAGTGCTCCTTTCTCAAAAGCAGAGTGTGTTTCTTGTAAGGCGAGCTAGTTTTGGTTTCCCCTTCATAAACGGATTTGAATTACATGCCGTTTCTGGTCCTACGAGTAAGAGTTGTTTTCTGATAAGGAAAGTCACTTTTGGTCTCCCTTTGACACACACAGTGCAAAGAGCACTCGGGTCTCTTCCCTGCCAGTACAGTTTATCGGATGGAAGAGTAATTACTGTTCTTGTCTGTTTCCTAAACAGACTTGAACCCAATATGGCCCGTGTTTGTAGGAATCACAGTTCTTTTGTTCTGAGCAAGCTCTCTGTTCTCGCTGTACAGGAAACACTGTAGAGTAGAAGAGTGCTCCTTTCTCAAAAGCATAGTGTGTTTATTTTAAGTTGAGCTAGTGATGGTTTCCCCTCATAAACAGAGTTTAATCACATGCTGTTTCTGGTCCAATCAGCAAGAGTTGTTTTCTGGTAAGGAGAGTCACTATTGTGCTCCCATTGCCATATCCAGTGCAAATAGCACTCACATCTGTTCCAGCAAGTTCAGTGTATTAGACAGAAGAGAAGTTACTATTCTTGTCAGTTTCCTAAGTAGAGTTGAACTAGATATGACTCGTGTGTGTAGGAAGCACAGTTCTTTTGTTCTGAGCAAGCTCAGTATTCTGGCTCTAAAAGAAACGCAATAGAGTAGAAGAGTGCTCCTTTCTCAAAAGCAGAGTGTGTTTCTTGTAAGGTAAGCTAGTGTTGGATTCAACATCATAAATAGAGTTGAATCACATTCCGTTTCTGGTATTATGAGCAAGAGATTTTTTCTTGTAAGGAAATCACTATTGCGCTCCCATTGCCATACACAGTGCAAATAGCACTCGCGTCTGTTTTCAGCAAGTGCAGTATATTGGAAGGAAGAGAAGCTACTGTTCTCCTCAGTTTGCTAAGCAGAGTTGAACTACATATGGCCGTTTGTGTTGGAAGCACCGTTCATTTGTTCTGATCAAGCTCATTGTTCTGGCTCTACCAGAAACATGAATTATTTCAGAAATTAGTTGTATGAAACTGCTTTGTTAAAAGTTTCTCAGTTTTGCACTGGAATTACATACTTGCATGTAAAAATATTTTTTAAATTACCATACTGTGGTAAGATGCCAGCCTCTCCCCAGCCCACAGCACATTTTAGTTTACTTCATATATTTTTTTCTAAAAATGTTGACATAGTGTCTATTTCATTATTAGTTCCACTACACTGTATTTAATTCATTTTATTTGTTTATTTTATTTCATATGTGAGTGTTTGCCTGCATGTACACCAGGCATGTGCACCATGTTCATGTCTGGTGCTTCTGGGAGAGAGAAGATGGTGTTGTATTCTTTGGAACTGGAGTTACAGGTGATTGTAAAATACCACATAGGATCTGAGAACAGAACACAGGTCCCCTTGAAGAGCAAAGCATGCTGTTAACTTCTAAGTTGTATTCTTAGCTACCCACACACATTATAAAAAAAAACACATTATTTTCTCACAGTAAAAATGAATGCATTGCAGTAAGTGAACACAATTACTTTGTTATACATATGATAGAAAACATGATTTATATGGCTAAACAAGACACAATATTCAATCCTTTTATGATTTCCTTTCCTGTGTAGGTTATTAAAGGAATGTATTCTTTTCTATAGATTTTAACTAAAGTACAATTAGATCACTTTCCCACTTCCCTTTCTTCCCTCCAGCACTCTCCCCATGCTCCCGCTTCTTCCATAGGATGGGAAATGGAAAAAGAGAATTGCCCAACAGTGGTGATTCACAAACAAAGAGGGTTGTCAGCTTGGATCTGGAGCAGGTGTGAGTTTACTGATGGTAGTTTTTGGGGGGTGACAGAAAAAAAGAGACTTATTCAATAAAGGTGGAACAAAACCTAAAATAATGGTAATTTTGTATTCAAATTCTTCCATTTAAACAAATACAGCGTTACTGAAATGTTTATATACATGGTGATTACTTCTGGCTCTACTGTATGGCAACGGTCTGGTTCCTAAATGTATAATTAGAAATTAATATTCTTATCTGTTAGGTGTTGAACTCAAGATTTCATACTTTAAGAAGGAGGTGCTCTATGTATTTGCTACTCCAATGACCCTATTTTTATTTCTATTTTTGTTTATTTTTGTCTTCCTGCTTTGTGTTGCCAAACTGACTCTTGACTGCCAAAAGGCTATCTCCAGAGGTCATACTTTTCCAAACTGCAATCAAGTCTTTCCCATGATTTTTTCCCATATGCAGTAACCTTTAGAATGTGAATACTATAGATGAAGCAAATAATGAACCTCTTCTTTGGAAAAAAAAGAAGAAACTAGTCTACTAATTACAGATTTAAATTCTGTTTTTATTGTGGGTGGTTAATATCTATAGCGTTTATCAGTAAATATGAAGCCACTCATATACCAGAGAATACTTGACTATCCATCCACAATCCCATTTTATCTTTTACCCTATTTTTGCAAGACAGGTGCTCTGCCACTTGGGCACATTTCTAGTCTTCATTTTCCATGGGAAGATACTTTCTCAAGGGTAATGTCAATAGGATCTCACCATGTGTTGTCTTTCTTATTTTATATGAAAGGAGAACTGTAGACAAAATTCTAAATGGTCTTAGTAAATAAGCAACACAGAGCCAAATACAGAGTTAAAAGTCCAAGAGATCAGAGCACTAGTGAAGAGCCAAGAGAGCCTTATCTTAATCCCTGGCTGCTGTCTCTTCTCTAGAGAGAGAGACCTTCTTCCTGTGTGACTTGTCTTTTTATTGACTTTCTAGTCTGCCTTCTCATTGGCTCTAAACACAACCACATGACTTTCCTGTCACTGCCTGTCTACACAGACCTCCAGGTCTCTATGGTTGGTACTGGGATTAAAGGTTCAGGTCACCACTCCTTGGCTGTGTCCTTGACCACACAGAGACTCTGCCTGCCATGGGATTGGATTAAGGGTATGTGCCACCACCACCTGACTTCTGCTTAATGGCTCGGTTTTACTTCTGATATCCAGGCATCTTTATTAACATACAAATAAAATCACATTTCAGCACAAATAAAATACCACCATAGGTAACTAGGTGACAATAGCAATTGAGTTTCTACCTTATTGCATCATAGGTAAGAATGAAAACTATAGCCAGATCTAAAAGAGCTCATTAGAACCTAACCACAGAGGAGATCGGGAGGGTGGGCAGCATTGATTTCACCTTACCTCTCTTTTCTGATACCTTGCAAGGCTTTATGAGAAACCTTGTCCAGATAGGATTCCATAATTTTAGGGGAGATTGATAAGTACAATGATCATTGCCTCATTGTACTTATCTCTGATAGGTTGTTTCATCCCTACCTGAAGGATTGCAGCAGTTTATCTGGGGAATATTTGTTGTGTTATACCAAAATATTTATGCTGTCTTCAAATTGATCCTGATACCATTCTTCCAGAAAACTACTCTCTTTGCTATTTATTTATGATAGGCACTGATTCTGCCAACGGCACTATTTGCCATTAGTTGAAATTGTTGTCAGTATAAATGATCACCTACTTTGAAGTATCAAATGCTGATAATTTCTTTCAGTCTTTTATTCAATAAATCCAAAGGAGGTGAAGATTTCCTGATGCATTTGTTTATATTCCAGTACCATAGTTATTATTTACCCTAGAAGATTTTTTACTCTAGAAGATTACCCTACGATAATTTATAGACTAATATAATCAACTGAAATATGTCTACTTTTCATTCAATTATAGGAAATCAGCCTGAAGATGTCTTTTCATCATGGTAAGATTTTAAGGTCTTTGAATATGAATGTTAACTTATAATTAGAACCAGGGAAAAGAACTAATGTCTATTGAATATTGTCTTCTTCACTGATTCCATCTGATTTATTTAGTGTCCACGATGCATTAATATAATCATATGTTTTAAAGCTTTTATATCCTTGTGACTAAGTGTCTTACTACTTTAGCAAAGGTCATTCAGATAGTTTGATTAATTCTATGATCACATAGGTAACAAGTTGCCAGCTCTTGACTGAACTGTCAGCCTGTGCATTCTCTTGTTCCTGTGACTACATTGAGATGATCTCATGTAGAAAGCCAGATTTCCTTATGTGTCAACTCTGGATTAGAGTTTTCCTGAGAAACCTATCTGTAACTCCATAGTTTTTCTTTTTGAAAGTTGTTCTTAGACACTACATTGCTATCAAGATTGGAGGGGGAACCTCTCTTTATTGTGTCTGTAGTGCCATAGGTTTGAAATGAGCAAGATGACAGAAGGCTTGGAATTACATTATTGGAATGGTAGTCCATGTGCTCATATACCATGTTATGTTGATACAACTGAGCATCTATTTAAGAGATGTTATGAACTTATACTCAGTTTTGTTTTCTCTTCAAACTACTGGACTGCCTGGGTACAGGAAGGTTTTTTCTCATTTTATCAAGTCTTTGTTTCTCCATGACACTAAGCATTTTGAAAGTTTTTACTGTACATTTTTTTCCTCATGTTCCTTGACCTATAGTTTAGAATTTTTGACTGCCAGGTACTGCTTCTTGTTTTATTAGAAAATCTCAGATCTGAAACACTTGTAGTTTTTAAGGAATTTTGAAAACTAATAAAAATATCCTGTGCACAGAAAACTAGATCCAACATTATACATAAACAGTTGCTCTGAGGGAGAAGCCAAAACTAAAACACAGTATTCTATGGAGGTGGAAATACAAATGGCCCAATTTAGATTCCCATGCATTCCTTCACTAAAAGACCAGGCCTTATTGACCAGTATTTGACTGAGAATTTCTGTAGGAAAATATGGGAATGAGTCAAGTGTTCCAAGAATGGCATTAAAAGTAGCCTAATGGTGGATGATTTGAATGACTTTAACAGAGGAAGGGCAATTTCGAAAGGAAAATCATGGAGGCCAATAGGAGTAAGAGCTTGGCCTCGTGATTAGTTTTTTAAAGACAGTAAGGTTATTTACATAGACACAGGATGGTGAATATCATCTGGGAATGGATAGGGTTGAACGTAATTTGGAAATTATATTATCTTTTGTCCTTAATTGATAGAAATGACAAATAGATTCTTCTGTTAAAACTTACTTGAGCAACCTGAAGTCTTTACAGAAAACGGGAATGTGGTATCACAGAGGGTGGGCTAGAGAATGTTCAGAACCAAGGGATGAAATGAAAAATATCTGTGATCCACTGCCACTGCTTCTTTTCCTGTTACCTTTGCCAAATTCCTGTCCTTTCCAGATTGGAATTGCAGAACACAATCATAGAATTTTGAAACATATCTAGGCTTGGGATGTGTGTTGCTGTCCCTCCATTTAGCTTATTTGCCTGAACCAGGGAACTACCTGTCTTTCAGGTTCTTTGAGCCTGTACTCTCAGGAATCTGCCCCTTCCTGGGATGAATATTTAAAGGCCAGAGAGCATCACTGATGACTGCAAAAGAGGGAACCAGGAGTGGTATCTTATATAAGGAAGACATCTAGAGAACATAGAGGGAAACAGAGGCAAAAGTCCCAGAGATCTGCTTTTCCAGAAGTCTCTGCCATCAACTGAGCACATATGAAGGTTTTTAAGTGCTTGGTAGTTTTTGAATCAGCCTCCACCAATGTAATAACTGAATTATTACATTTTAATGTTTGAACACCCATGATAAGAGGATTTCAAGCCTCAATGTGCACATTTGTTTGTTCACTTATAACTTTAATGTTCAAAAATTTCACATCTTTTTCATGACTTTATTAGTTGTTTTACAATGAATGGATGTGATGGTTTCCTTTCAATGGGTATTTCCCATGCTCAAGAATGAAGGATGCCATTTAGTAGTTATATAGTTTTGTGCTTTATTGATAGAGTAGAATGAGGACACTATTGTTTTGCTTTATTTGGGACTATTACCTTTATTTAAATTAATGCTTAAAGAGTATGTGAGCAATTAATTGTAATTTGCATGCAATCATCAGGACAGTTTTCAAAACAAATGATTTTCAGGTTCCACAAATATATTGACTGACACTATTTGATGTGGAGCTATGTGTAAATCTTTCTTGACAAATGCAGAGATTAGGAGAAGTAGAGACAAAAATTAACAGCTGAACAAATTTTATAAAACAGATGTCTAATAACAACAGAAACACCATTTGCTATTCAAATAACTAAACATTCAGGACAAAAACTTTTGTCTACTACTCACTTATTTGTTGTTGTGATTTTGCTTCAAAGACATCACTTTGAATCTGAGTCACTGATTTCCATGTGTGCAAGAATGGAAGACACAGCTAATTTGAAAACTCAGGTAATCAATGACTTCTTGAGGTAAATTCTTGTGCTAAATTTCTTCTTTGTGGAGTTTGAAATGGTATAATATAGCAGTTGTCAAAATGTCATTACTTTAGATGAAAAATTGGCTAGAAAATTTTTATTAAATTATGACAATATTACTATATTGATGTTGAAAAGTATCAAAACATAATAATTACTTTGAGGTTCTGAAAGCCAAAAATGAGATAAGAAATAAGTAATCACAGAAAAATCAGTTTATATAGTTTTACCACAGTGCAGTAAATTTGAAATTTGGGAATATTTGGACAAATAAACATTAGTAGTTTTATTTTTATTTCTTATACCATGACTTACATAATTTTCAGGCTTCTCTAAATATGTAGACTAACCTATTCATTATGTTACTTAAGGTATCTTATCAAGAGCTTACATATCCAACCCATGTATTGAAGGGCACAGAAATTAGCATTAGTTTTTAAAGTACCTTTTAAAAAATCTTTTACTCATGATACTAACTTTTAAAAACTGTTAACTGGATGTCAACTACATGTTACCTGGATGTCAACATGCAGAAGACTGCATATAGATCCCTATCTGTCGCCATGCACTGAACTCAAGTCCAAGTGGATCCAAGACCTCAACATAAATCCATTTACACTGAACTTGAGAAGAGAAAGTAGGAAGTACCCTAGAATGCATTTGCACAGGAGACCACTTCCTAAATATAACACCAGTATCACAGACACTGAGAGAAACAATTAATAAATGGGACTTCCTGAAACTGAGAAGCTTTTGTAGGGCAAAGGACACAGTCAATAAGACAAAACAACAGCCTACAGAATGGGAAAAGATCTTTACCAAAACCACCTGACATCTGACAGAGGGCTGATCCCCAAAGTATATAAAAGAATTCAATAAACTAGACATCAAAATTCCAAACAATCCAATTAAATGGGCTACAGGGCTAAACAGAGAATTCTCAACAGAAGAATCTCAAATGGCCAAAGGACATTTAAGAAATTGCCCAACATCCTTAGCCATCAGGGAAATGCAAATCAAAATAACTCTGAGATACCATCTTACAACCTTTCCTGTGCTCAAGTCCTTAGTAACTCTGTGTGTGACTCCTATACTATTAGTAAAGACACACTATGTTTGTCTGTGTGTGTGCATGCACGCATGTGCATATATGTGTGCATGTGTGTTTGTGTCTCTGTGTGTGTGTGTGTATAAGTGCATGCATGCTTGTGTGTATTTGTTTAGTGTGTTGCTTGTATGTACATGTGTTCAGGACTGATCACTGGAATTGCACAACCTATTATCCTACTAGGATGAGCTCATCTCTGGAAAATCACCTGATTTGTCTTTGTTTATCAGCCACTGATTGCCTGCAGATCTTCATCTAGGGGTTGTGCATTGTGAGATTCACTTCACCCACAGTAGCATTTCATCGGGTGTTGTCCTTATACAGGTGTCTTTTCAGATATCATACTTTTGAAATTTCATGGTAGCAATATTTAAGTCATGCATAGAAGATGCTGTGTAGCTTCAAGAGTGCTGGTACTTTGATGTTACACTCTATCTACCTTATTCTTACTATTTTTCCTGATCCTTAGATTTAGGACTTTATAAGTGGAGTTGGGGCATATTATGGTCACTCCTTGGAGTCTGATTAATTGTATATACTGTAATACTTTTATGTACTGTGTAAAGTAAATTCTTTGAGGAGAAATGACAGCTACATTCTTCTGTGGATATAACCGTGACTATAAAAACCATATTTAGAACACAATAAGTATACTGTTATAAGAAAACGGGAGTAATTGATGACTCCTAGTGTTTATGATTTCTCCATTCATGGATAGTTGATTAGTTTCCCAGTACCAGGAATGAATGTCTCATTGAGTGGGTCTCCGGACCAATAGGACAGCTGTTGGTTACCCCAAAAATAAAAGTGTCTCTATCCTACCGTGAGCATTATCTTGCCAGGCTTTTCAACATCTTGGTGGTGGGATTACTGATTGCTTATCTCCCTAGGCACTTTGCATAGCATGTTCTCATAGTATGAGAGCAGGTTTCTATGTCAGGTCCAGCTAAATTACTCCAAATTCTGTGTCTAAAGTGTGGAGTCTTGAGCAATAGGGCCTTACAACTAAAACTATTTTGCCAGTTTCAATACAAAAAATTATTTCATAATCCTTGTCCAGTTTCCTTAATTTGTACATTTTTGAATGTGCTTGTGGGTGTGAGCACATGATAAATGTTCTGAAAAATCGATGATGTCTGAAAATGTAGATTTTAGAGAGCTTGGTCATTTATGAGAGGTATGTTAACTACAAGATGAATCAGTCAAGTATTTGGATGTCTTGAAGCTGGCAACATGCAGTTTCTGTACAAGTGATATACAGGTATTTCTACAACTTGGGCATTTATCTAAGCATGTAAATATATATCTATAAAGTACATTTAATTGAAATATTTGATAAGAGTAATTTTTTTCTAAATTCTAATTGTGAGTGTATTTCAATCTATTTTCATAGAAAATTGTGTATCTAATTGTTATATTTATTTTTTAAATAAAATATGTGGATATGTCAGAAGAACTAGAATTAGAAACAATACCGGATTTAAAACTGGAAAATGAAAATGCTTATAATAAGAATGAAGACTATCAAAAGTTGGTATGTAACTATTTAAATTTAAATTTCTCACTTAATACTGTTTGGTTTGATGATCTTACCATAGGCCAAAAGAAACTACACTTCACGCTACTATATTCAGTCCATCAATGATGATTTAACATTGAAATGAAAGCATTTTACCTATTATAAAACACAGGGTATTCTTAGAATCCAGTCACAAAGCTAATCATTGTCTTTTATAAGTAATTTAGAAAATAATTATGTGATTATTACTCGTGCTTTATGTTAAGCTCTTTACGTAGCTGGAGAGTCTTATGGCTCTCTATTTAAAATAGTGGATCATATAAAATTGTGACTTCAGAGTTGGATTTATTTCATAAAGTTGATTCTTCCTGCAGAAACTAAATTTGTTATGTGATGATTATTCTCAGTTATGTCAAGGAGAAATTTTTTCCTTATGGTCATTGGGTTATTTCAAGGTCCTCATTTGAGAAGATAATATGGACATGTAATCAACTAATCTGCCAAAAGAAAGAATTTTTGATTCCATAAAAGAGGCTTAATTGTGAAGGAAAAGCTCAACTATTTTGCTCAATTCAATGAAGAAAATTAATTATTTCCACATTATTTTCCAATATGCTTAATTAATATATATATATTGGGATTTGAGTTAATATAGAGAATTCAAATAGATTCAAGAGACTATAGTTTGCCTTTTACACAATGTTAGGTACTTACTGAAGTAGGAGTATGTTCTGAAGACATTTTTAATATTTTAAACCTACATAAATCTGTATAGTCAATATCTACTCTATGTTGAGAAATCAAGAACTGAGAATTTCAGAGGGAAGCCTAATATGCTATAGTAATAGAACACAAAACAAGTAAAAAGCAATTGTTTTAGTTCAGATAGGTGTATTTTGTCATAAAGAAAACACATGGTACAGAGAGATATTTAGGTAAGATTGTCGTTAATACAGGGTAGGAGTGAGAATGGTATTTTGTCATCAGAGATCAAAGTATGAAGCCTAACATATTTTAGAAGATGAGGGAGTGTCCACTCAGTAACTGTCAAATAGGATGGCATTACTGTACATATAGAATAGTGGACAACATATTCTCATAACTTTTAAAATTCTTGAATGACGAGAAAGCAAGATTTGTTTATTCTATTAAACATGCAAAAAATGTGAAATGGTATTTGGGGAAGATTTCTGTTCATTGAGAAACATTTGCAAAATATTAAAACTGCATAATGGTCTAATGTTATTGTCTAAAGGTAACATAGGAAATAACTTGTCTGCTTATCATTTTGATCCAGATTTACCATCTATAAGAAATTAACAAAATATGTCAGATTTGTTTGTTCAAGTTTACCAAAATTAAGCATATTCTGCCTTCTTCACTACACAATCAGCATGATACAATATGAATGCTTTTTTTTTTTTTTTTTTTTTTTTTTTTTTTTTTTTTTTTTGGTTTTTCGAGACAGGGTTTCTCTGTGTAGCTTTGCGCCTTTCCTGGAACTCACTTGGTAGTCCAGGCTGGCCTCGAACTCACAGAGATCCGCCTGGCTCTGCCTCCCGAGTGCTGGGATTAAAGGCGTGCGCCACCACCGCCCGGCTTCAATATGAATGCTTTTAACATAATACATATCTCCTATCATGCCTAACCACACAAATAATGTCATTGTATAACACCTCATGATTAATATTAATCATGTCCTAGAGGAATGGCCTTACTAAAGATGTGAACATTTGTGTTATTAACATCCTCCAACTTTACTAAGAAGAACAAATTAGTTTTATGCATTGTAATATAAAATAATTATTTTTATTGATACATACACATCAGGCATTACTCTGTCTATGGATGTTTTTCCTCTATTCTATATTTTTTGTATGTAATTGGGAAATGAAAGACTTAAACTTGACTGTGTATATAAGACTCTTAATTCAAATACCATGGTTTTTGATATATACTGCATATATTCTCATGAAAGATTTTCTTAAAGTCCAATATCATGATATGTTCAGAAATAGAAAATAAGACCTTTTGAAATTGCACTACTAATATCTTGT